CTGCAGCATCCAGAGTCTAAAAAGTTAGGGGATCTGGAGGCAAAGCAAATATTTTCTTTGGATGGTATCAACGTTTTCCTACATGCTGATGTCGGGAAATCTAGCTTTGAGTGAAAAGGGCACTATAATAGTTCATCTGCAGAGCCTGCCCCAGTTTACGTGGTGAACTAGCACAAGGTGTTTCCAATGAACTTGCACCTTCTGGGCGTCAGTCAGAGGTGAGAGATACGTGAGGTTTGTTGGGCAGCAGAACAGGATGAATTTAAATCCTGCCTCTTGCTAAATTGGTACTTACGCTTGTCGTGAGTAGTACAAGATGGCTGTAGTCCCTTTTGGTTTTGTTTTGTTCAGGTAATGACACTGTGTCCTTAGCCGTTTTTTTGCGGCAGTGGCCTGTCAGTGTCCCTGCTCTGTGTGGGCAGATTACTCCCTGACAGAGAAAAAAGGGAATGAGTGGGCAAGCATAATTACAGCTCAGGATCAGACCTGGAACACGAAATCAGTTTGAACTCTGCTATTGAATTACTGACGTTGCAGGTTGTTCCTGTTAACTCTTATAAAAGAAAAAGGTGGTTATTTTCTACAGTGAGTTGGTGGTAGTGAAACCAAAGACTTTTTTTTTTTTTTTTTTTAATAGTCAGAGCTTGAAGCATATGTGAGTACATCTATTGTGACAATTTTGATGGTAGGGAAATTGTCCTTTTGCTACAATGCCACAAAAGAAGAAAAACAAGCCACCTCTGCAGCCAGTGATAATTCCAGTGCAGCAAATGCAAATGTGTGCTAGGGGCTGCACATCTGTAGGAAGCTGCTGACAGTTGTTGCTGTTTCACTGTATGAGGGTGATGTGGAAAACCTCGGACAATTCTATAACATGCTGTATGCTAGTAAAGGGGTATTCCTTCATTTCCCCCTTGGAGGATGTGTGAACTTAATTGTACAAGTCTCTTGAGGTTTTGCCTATTCTCTGGATCATCTTCTATTTATAGTTTTCATTATCTGTCATTTCAGACTGGCTGATGATAGGACTGCTGTGGCTGTGGAATTAGCATAATTTTTAATTTGCCATCCTTGCAGGCAAGAGGAACAAGAATGCTTTAGATTCAACTGGCCTAGCTGGATGGCAATCCCAGGCATTGCAAGTAGCAGATAAAACAGTCTGTGTTATAAAAGGCTACGTGTAACGTGGGAGCGTGCGGATAAAAGCATTTTACAGACATAGCATGCCCAGCACTTCTCCTGAGCGTGTTGTCCAACATAAAACAGATCAAGCTGTGAAGGATTACTGAATAATCTTTTTTATTTTTCTGAGAATGGAAACGTGTTGAGTGTTCTCACTCCATTGAATTAAGGCCTGGATAGGAGACCAAACGGAGGAAGAACAGATTTGACAAATTACTAGAGAAAAGGGAGATGTTCTGAAATGCTGCCGATGTTTGCTTTAGGGATAAGAAAGGTAAATTTGGGAGAAGACTCAAGTGGTAAGTGGGTGTGGGAGAGATCAGGGAACGTTTGAGGAAGAATCTGATTTGTAGACTGCAAGCATTAGAAGAATTTGGGGTTTTTTGCTGAGCTAATTTGTTGCTATACTAATAATTTGCAGCTGTAATCTTTATGCAACACTTGTTTTTCTTGATGTCAACAGAATGAAATGTTGCAGTCACAAAAGCAATGTATTAGGTAAATTGAGGGAGAACCACTTATATTTTTAGGTTATTTTTTATTGAATTTCCAGAATGAAATTACAGCACAGTTCAAATAGAGCCTCACAGCAGTACCTCCATCCACCTTCCCCCATTCAGCAATCTTCATTTGAAAATAACTAAAAGTGTCCTTGTTTTAAAGGACACAACCCATTCTGGTTCTTTCCTCTAACCTAATTTCCTGTTTGCTGGCTCTCTCTCACCAGCACAGCTGTGGTTTCAGTCATTACTGATCTCTCAGACACTGGGAGCGTGTTTTGGTCCTGCCCCTCACATAGTTCTGGTTCTTGAAAATGGTTCTTGAGAAACGTTCCTCTTTTTAAAGGTGCATGAATACATATATAGGTAGAAGCCGCTTATGTCTATGTACTGTTCTTCAAATTGTGGTGAGCCTGCTGTCACCAGCACTGGTGGGAAAAGATTTCCAGCAGCAAGCCTTCTTTGAATATATGGCGAATACAAATACTTGGACATGGATTTGGATTGAGTTTCTGAGCTTAGTGACGTATTGCAAAAAATCTTGACTGAAGTTTAGTCTTGCAACGTAGCAAGGGTTTGATTATTTTTTATTTTTTATTTTTTCTGTGCAGTGTGCTGATTTTTGAGCTTTTTTTAAAAGCTGTTTTTAAAATCAGTATTTGGTAGTTTGAAAGTGCTGTATATATTGATCTATTAAATTCTTCTAGTGGATTAAATTCAATTATAGATTAAATTAAATCTAATTGTTTAATGTATGTTTAACCATTGTTGGCTTTTCTTAAGAGTGCTTTTTTTCCCCACTTGTTACCTCAGATAGGCAATCAAATTATCCCACAAGCTTGCCAGATTTCCTTTGTTGTTAGCTAAACCAGAGCAGGGATTATGATTGGATTGAACCAAAGTGGGGGCTAACAACATTGGTATGGCAGAATACTCTTGAATCCTACATCAGTGTATGAGGTAATCTTTAATGAATATTTTGCAAAGGCTAAGCTATTGCAAATGATTTTGAGAATTCAGTGTTAAACAAGCTGTCTAGGCACATTGTCCAACTTTTTCATCACCTATGTTTCTAATATTTTCTAGCTCTCAAGTTAATGGAAATATTTTAACCATAGAATGATGTTAAATTCTTTTGAAATTAACCTTTGACCATAAAATCAAACTTTTCAAATATATTGATAAACTAATATTTGTATACAACTTTCTGATCCAGCTTTTAGTAGTAGATATGGTGTCTTTGTGCACCTCTTCTGCAAAATGTGCCTCGGAGCTTGCAAATGCATGAATGTTCTTGATGGGTTTGGCTGCTCTTGGTCTTGAAATTCCCGAGCAGTGATGCATGAAGTGTGGTAGGTGGTATGTAATTTCACAATGGTAGATGAGGTATACTACTTAGAACTGAAATTTTAGGTTGAAATTGCCCATATTAGGATTTTTATGTTGGCCTTTTTTTGGCTGCAAACCCAATATTTAATAAATTCCATACTTGAGAAGGACTTTTTTTTTTTTCAGCCTTCAAAAATTATTTGAGCGTTAGTGGATGTATGAGAAGTAATTAGGTAATTTAAACAAGACTGGCAGTTTAAAGAATTTGTCTTAATGGGATGCAGAAGTTGAAGTGAATCTGACAAGATTTTGTGAATATTTAAATTTTTTTTTGTGATTCAGAGAGGTGAACTTTTAAGAATAAAAGTTTCTTTGTCTACAAAAATATTTGTCCAGTGTTTTCATTTAAAATAAATGCTCTTTTGTTTGTTTAGCAGAGTTGATTCAGCTTTGGTTGGTTACCATAGTTCAGCACTCTTTTTGCATTTCCATGTGAATTTCTCGTAATTCCCAGGCTTGGTTCAGGTTTTGGGGATCTTGTTGTATCACTTCCGTTAGCTGCCTGTGGAGCTGCACTTCCCTTCGTTGAATTTGGAAAAACATCAAACACGACTTAAGTCTTGATCTAATATCCCTCAAATGTCACTCACTGCTCAAAAATCAAATAGCATGCGGTAATGCAGTGGCTGTGGACAGAAGCAAGAGATAAAAGGCTTCACTTGTTTTAAATTAGTTGTCTGATAGATAGCTACTATGGCAAGTTAACGCTGATTGTATAAGCTAATAGCTGCTCAAAGACGTTTTGAAAAATGAGAAAAAATACTTAGCATTAAAATATGCTGCAGTGATAGGGGGAGCAAGGACAGCCTGATAGCGTTTCATAGCTGAGAGGTTACAGCTGACTGGGGAAGTTCAACTGTTGTTTTGTGCAGCTGTAGCTGTCCAGTAGTTGGTTCTTGGTTTGTGTTGTCAGCAAAGTTGTTCTCTCACCTCTCATTCCCCATTTGCAGGCTGTCATTGCTAATATGTTCATTTTTCAGTCTTGTCATGAAAGCTGAAAGCAGTAGCTGTGTGCCTGGAGTTCTTGAGGACCTCGGTTAATCTTCTCTAGCGTTTGGATTGGAAGGATAAAAGGCTGGGACAATCAAATAGGTGTCAAGTTTTGGCCTGACCTTGACTTCTTTGTCTGAATTACTTGTTTATCAGACTTGGTTACTTTGTTTGATCCTGGTCCCTTGTTTAAGCCCGGCTTCTGCCTTTTGCCACTCCAGTTATACAGATGCAGAGTCTCCACTTGTCAACTGGATTGTTGCTGCCCAATGAAAATGCTCTCTTAAGCAATAAAATTACAAATAGATCCAAATAAGTCTGGTTAGGAAACGAAGTAATTTGGTAGCCTCATGTAGCCAAGAGCGGTACTGTACTGGAATATAGGTACTCTAGAGTGCAGGGTTCATGTATTATGATAAAATAGTGTGGGCTTTGTCTCTGCATGAGTTCATTTAGTTGGTTTCCATTTAAAAGTTGATGGGGTTGGAGAAATGCAAGTAAGGGTGAGAAAGACATTCAGGTTAGGGTATTGACAAATTTAAACCCTAATTTGATACACTGGAGGTGTTGATGAAGCTTTTGATAAAACTTGGGTTTGCATACACTTGAACACTGTTGAAGTTGTCCAAAAAATCTGGATGTGGTGCCCACTGGAATCTTAATTCCTGTTTCTTGCAGCTTCATATTTAATGTAAGGTGAACCAGAAGGCATTGTTGACTGTTAGAAGTTAAATTTTTGGAATTGTGTGGACTACCTGGGTAGATAGAATGACTTTGAGAATGTTACTTGGAAAAATATTTTAAAGCAGTGTCATTCAATGGGTTTTTAACTTGTAGTCCTTAAATAGTGTTACTGGATAATGCTTGTGAATAATTAGAATAATTTTGAGCTAACTTTACTCTTTGTTTTTTTTCTCGTTTCTTTATTTGCAGGAGAAAATGGCCAAAATGGAGGTCAAGACATCACTTTTAGACAACATGATAGGGGTGGGAGATATGGTTCTCTTAGAGCCACTTAATGAAGACTCGTTCATCAATAATCTGAAAAAGCGCTTTGATCACAATGAAGTATATGTGAGTATATGTTAACAAATAACATCCTATGAGGAGCTATGTCGTCATTCTTAAAGTATGTGTTTATTTATAAGGATACACATAGATGGAATGCCTGAACATAATCTATTGTATTAGGGATATTTTAAACCTTACTTGTGCTGTAGTCTTTCCTGTACTGCATTGTTTGCATTTGATCTTTTCCATCTGGGATATTTTTCCTTTTTCTTTTTCCCCATTGCACAATGTGGTGGACCTCTGATTTTCATGAAAAACAGTTCCAGAACTGATGATGACAATTACTTTGATACTCCTGTTGTCAGAGGACGTTGCAGTTATAAATAATTCACTTCCAGGGAAGGCACTTCCAGGATGTTAGAGCAGGTTGATGTAGAAACAGCATATGCTTGGAATATGCTAGGGCTAGCTTAAATGTTGCCTGCTATCTTCGATTTGCAAAAAAGTTATGTTTATTAGAATGGTTGGATTTTAAACTAGAAACAATGAGCTTGGATATATGTGGAAGTAATAAAAATCTTCAGGCATATTAATCTCTGAGTGATGATCAATAGGAGAGATGTTGTGAACTGACAGTTGAAACACAGGCTGGGAATGAAGTGGCAAATTGTGATTCCAGTTAAGCCTTTCATTTCCTGCTTCATCTCTCTTTATTCCCTTTTTGTTAAAATGTGCACAATATTGTATCGTTGTACTGCTGGGGCTGTATGATTATGAACTTAATGATTTGTAGAGACTTTCCAAGACCGCTGGTGAAAGATAAGTCTTTTAAGAGTGCTTTGGCTTAAATATTTCAGCTTTATAGCTATGATCTGCAAGCAATTGTGTCTGCAGCTTATTACAATCAAATACATGTGTTCTGTACTTAATTATAACTTAGCCCTCCCCCCTTTTAATTTTTAGTGTGACTATTTTTTTCCTTCTTGCTAAGCATTTGAACCTTTGTGGTTTCATTATACTTTTTCCTTTCCATCCTCCAGTATGGGAGGATTGGTGTTATTTTTGTTTGCTTCTTCTATCCCTTAGTTACGGTCTGTGCTTTTGTACCTCTGCTATTCATCGTCTGCTACATCTTTCTTCTGGAGTCATTTTCCTGCTCATCTATGCCTGTTCCCTTTTTTGTAGGCATTTACTTGGCAATATACAGTTGCACCTCTCTGCTATTGTATCACCTCCACCTATTTGCTCCTTAAGTTTGGACTGACAATTTAAATTAACCAGAAAATTAAAGTAAGACAAGGACTCTTGGTATCCATTAAAATCTTGTTGGAGAAGAAACCAAAATGGTCTGTATTTGCGGAAAGATTTCTTCCACAATGGTTAAAAAAAAATCTTCCTGATACCTTTGAGAGTTACATTTCCAAAAATGTGTGTCTTAAATTTTCCTTGTTCCTTGAAGATGTAGTCTGTTCCCTCTTGATAACCCTTAAACATTGATACAGGCAGGTAGATATCAGTCTCCTCTTTGCTGCTCTTTCGTCCTGCTTCTAGCAAGTCCTCCGTATTTGACAGCTGCAGTGACTGCCTCTTCTGGGGTTCAGTTTTTTTCAGTCAGTGGCTTGTATAATTAACCTGTTTCACATCAGTTTTAGGGTTAACTCTGTATTCCTAATACCTACAGTAAAAGTGGGTGATACTGAGTCATCTCGCTCCACTTTAGCTCAAGAAAATATGAAGGAGAAGAGAAAGAAAGGGAGCTAGTTGCCTAGAGATTGAAGACGACAGTACTACCTTGCACAATCTTTGGGTCATATTTGAAAGTTTTATTTAAAGCATTAAGGATAGAAACCTATTCTGTGAGGGTACCCTAGACTACGCAGTCTCTTAAGAAGGATTGCTGTAAGTCATATGGGAGTGGATTTCTCAAGGTTTGGTTTTTTTTTTTTTTTTACTGTAAACTGCTATGGATTGCAAAGATTTAATTACATGTTTCTACTTAATTTAGACTGGATAGCTTTTTCTTGAAAGAAATCAGTTTGAATGACAAATGGGTAATCTGTTTTATTTTTATCTGCTATTACATGCTAGTTGACAACCATGTTCAAACACACAGTTCTTTGAGACAGTGACAGAGAAGCATGTATTTCCCCCAGTTTCTGATTCGGCTGGGCCTGGCACTGTCATGCAATGTAATTAGCTGTATTATGTGCTTTGGCAGGTGATACAGGGTGTCACTTTTCTCTAGCAATGTGGGATCCTTTGCCTTGCAGGTGGGAAAGCCTAATACTTAAAAATGCTCTGTTGAGAAGTGTGAACCGCTGCCAAAACCAAAGGATTTTTTTGTTGGTGTGTTTTTGTTGTTTGGTGGTTTTTTTTTTCCCCTGAATCATTCCCTTGTAGTTTGTTGCACTATCATTTACGCTTTTTATCTCCAGGTTTGTTTGATCATGTGATTCATTTTTTTTTAAGGTCTTACGAGTACTGTTTGTGAATCCACACTATGAAGGCAAAATGTTGCAGATCTCTGCAAGTATTAAAACATTCACACCATCAGTGGTGGAAAGAATAGATGTTTATGTCTGTGCCACGTGCTGCTACCAAGTATACAAGTTAGTTTGTGATGCTGCATGGTTTTATTTACCAAATCACTCGAGGAATAATATCTCCTTTCCGTATCAGTTGAGTTCTGCTGCCCTGCAAGTTTAATGCCCCTGTTGCATGTTTTAGAAAACTTTTAAAACAGTAACGGTTGGAGTGGTGCTCACACTAACAACCACACCTTAATTTTCAAGTGCAAACTCTTCTCTCCCTTCTCCTTATTGCGACCCACTCTCTTATCCCGAAACCTCACTCATGAAAACCACATTTTGCATTTCTGTTTTTAGACTCAGATGAGCACAATGAAGCCTTTGTTACATCTGGAAGTAATGTTTGTTTCACCATGTAAAATCTGTAGTTTGCATACTATCCTGGGGAAACCAAATTGGACTATTAAAGAGCTACTGTTGGTGTTTAACAAAGACTGCAGATTTCTTCAGCTCCAACAAACTATGCAAATGGACCTCTCAGGATCCTTTCAGAGGGCAATAGGAATGGATTCATCCTTTCATGGCTCAGCTGTGGGGTTAAGTTCACCCCTCATGTCAGTGCTTCATTGTAGGCATTACCAAAAGTTGTGTCCAAGTTTAAAAAACTAAAGCCAAACTGAAGCCATATGAATGGATTGAAATGTTTCTATGGCAGTAAGCCAGGGCTTACTCAACATCAGTTTCTAAGCAGTTTTCTGTAGACTGACAGCTGTGTCTGTGCTACATATGTTAGTTTTAAAATGGAGTTGGAGTTATAACCTTCAAAAGGGTTTGTTGTGAGGAATGAGACCTGTAACACGGATAGCTTTGAAAATGCTGTAAAGTTGGCCAGACGCTGCATAATTGTGTTAACCAGTCTTGATAGGTAAATGTGAGAGTCAGATCGAGCCATCAGTGAACAGTGCCAAATCTCTCCCTGTAGCCAAAGATGACAAGATAAATGGGCTCATTCCACTGGCAGAGAATATAATTTTTGTCTTTTCTAGTCTCTTTCACAGCAGTTACGTTTGACGCTGAATGTTTGATGTTGGAGGTCCTAGTGCCTTTGAAATTCCAGATCTTTTCCATAAGAGTTCCCCTTGCAAGAGCATTCAAATCTGGATCCCCTGACAGTCCTCTTGTACCATCCTGGGCATGGTCACTGTAAGCCCTTCAAGCAAATTAGCTAAGTTTCATGCCATGGTGCAAACAGGGCAATAAGAGTACTCCTAACAGAGAACAGACTACAGCTTGATTACCTGTTGTTCAATTTTATGTGTATTTGGTGGAAAGTTTAATGGACTTGGGTGTTAGGTTGCATACCAGAGCGCAAAGCTGGAGGCTGTGCCTGTAAAAATAAGCATGAAGGCTGGTAGACCTGGAGTTTGGCCAAATATTCTACTAAAGACCATCACACTCTGCAGTAATCTCATGCTGAGTGGCTTTGGGGGGGAAGGGCTCATTGGGTAACATGCATGTGTTAATTGGAAGTGGGAATCTTGGAGTTTAGTCATGTCTGGAAATGTCTGGGGTATGTCTGACCAACAAAAATCTCGTTAAAAAGCTGTAATTGTTTATTATATTCTTTTTGCAACTCTTAAACTTTTCTTTGATAAAATTTGCATCGCTTTTTTGCAAAAGTTCTTTTCTGTAAATATCAGTAACAAAAGCCTGTGAGAGTTTTTCTTTAACTTTACAGAGTAAAATGTGGCTCATGGGCAATGCAGTTAGTAAGTAGAAAATAACCCACAATGTTGATTATTTGAAAGTTCCAGGGAGCAGTTTGTGTGGTTAAAATGTGTGACCTAGAGACTGCATAGAAAACTTCAAATACATTCGTAAAATTCAGCTTGTATGTCACTGATGAATTTCGACTCATTCTGTTGAACTCCCTCCCTGAACTTTCTTTTTTTTTTTTTTTTTTTTAATTTGGCTGAAATATGCTCAGCCAATCCAGCTCAGCAATTATTTTTCCTTTGTATTTTGGGATCCTGATAAATGGGAGGGGGGCATCTGTCTATATGTGTATTTACAGTGACTCACGAATGGTAGAGGTTTGGATAAATTATAGTATATGTATTAGTCTGAAACTTATTTTTGTACTGGGCTCGTTGTTTTGTAAGGCATGTGGAAGTGGCAAGGGAGGTGTGAGGAGTCTGGAGGGGAGCGGTGCTGCGTAGGCCTTTAGAGGCCAGATACTGCTTTATTCTGCTGCCCTGCACATTTTTCCCCGCAGTTATGTTGTTTCTTGAAGTCCTCCCAAATTTGCAGAGGTCAACGTCTTGTTCCTTACAACAAAATGTTTGTTTGCTTCTTGTTCTTAAAACAAAACAGAATCTTTCTCTGATGTCAGCATTTAATTTGTATTTTCTGTGTGTGGAGTTTGTGGGCTGCTTTGGGCAGGAACAGTCTTATGGTACTGAACACATTTTATCACTGCAATATTAAATGTTTGACATTCCAGTATAATAACTCAGTGTTAGCTGTTTGAGGTAG